TCACTGGCTGGACGGAGGAGGAGGTGTCCCCTCTCCACACACAGTGCAGGCTTAGCACTTAGGTGCTGCCCCAGGCTGCGTTCCCAGTGCTGAAGACTGGGGCTGCTCCCTGCTAACTCCAGGTTCTGCCTGAGAGTTGGGAACTGAGTGTGCGCTTAGGAGAAAAACCAAACCAGTTCCCATAGCCTCTCATCTGTTACAGGTGCCCTAATGTCGGGCTCCTGCTCATCAGGAATCTGGCCCCAACAAGCGTGTAACTCCATTGTGTTCACCTGGCCAGTAAATCCCTGCTCACCTTCCCCCACCCTGGGGTGAGTCCCTGGAAGGCAGGGCCTGCTCCAAAAGGTAAGGATTCAGGAGAGTGCTGTTTGTTTATTCTGAGGCTCTTAGGAATCAGCATGCCTCTGTCCTTGGCACGTATCCAGGAGGGTGTGGCTGACGTTTCTGTCTGCTGAGAAGGTGTTCTGATGTCAGACAGACAGCTCCCGGAGGGATCTATCTGGCTCTTGACCGCAGAAAGGAAGGAAGAAAGCCATCCGGGTGCTGTAGGGCAGCTGGTGCCTCCCGACACGGGGAAGGGGGACGAGAGGCAGTGCCCGCCTTTGTCTCAGCCCCTCAGGTAATGGCTTGCCTTCCGCACCTGTCTCCCTCCTCCTTCCAAGGAGTTAGATGCTGGGAGCAAGCTGTGCCTCAAGGTGAATCGATATGGCAAGGCCAGCTTGCAGAGCTTAGATCAGCTGTCAGAAGTCTTCTTGGAAGCGGCTCATGGCTTCAGGCAGAGTCGGGGACTGGGAGCCTGGAAACTGGAGGGGCACCCGGCTCTTCATCTTTGCCTTGCAATGAGCCCTCCTACCCCTTCTCTCCTAAACCAAGAGCAGGTGAGGCAGCTACAGACTCTGGAACAGAGCAGCCAGGACCAGGCACCCACCTCCCCTCAACTCTACAAGATGGGCTTCCACCCTTGAACTTGGACCATTCTCACCACAGGGATGTCATCATCCATCCTGCCCCGAAGGTGGCCACTAGCCAGTTCCTTCTTTTGTTGTGATTATCTTTGACACCTTTCATCTTTTGGTTTTCTTGCACTCTGGATGCCTTGAAGAGAGGGCCTGCGTCTGTCTTGTGCATTTACCCGAGTGACCAGAATAGTGCCAACATTCAGCAGACACTCAGCGAGTCTGTTGAGTGAGTTGAGTGACCAATGAGTGAATGCTCAAGGCCAAGCCTCGGGTTATACAAGGACAATTGTTTCTATAAATGAGAAAAGTACCCTGGCCTCCCGCCCCCACACCCTGTCATTGTACAGATGCTCTCCCCAGGCCCGCTGTCCCCATGTGATCTGATGTCAAGCTCTCACGAGCCTTCTGAGTCCTCCCTGGCTCCTCGATGCTTCCTCACACCCCTCGGGGTGTGACTTCCAGTGTGGAAGCAGGTGTATGCCCGTGTATATGGCTTCTCGGAGCCTCCGGTAGGGCGGGGCAGAGACAGGGACACCTGGCACTGCCACCCGGAACTGCAGGCCCTGCTCAAGGGCAGACCCCTGCAGCTCTGATGGGGACATCCTGGATGTCCAGAGGCCACTCGACATCTTACCTCCGTGTCCATTTGTGTGTCCCCTGCAGCTGGAGGTGAACAGCGGCATAAGCCCGGGCCCCGGCAGTCCCCTGTGCGCCTTCTGCACTGTCAGTGGCTCCCGGCCTGTCATCTTATTTCACCTTGATTTATTAGCAGACCTAATGAGTTTTCGGAGCAGCCGCCTCCCCAGGGACGGGGCGATCAATCTAAGAGATAGCTAGTGAACTCTGCTGCTCCTCTGGCACCTGGGGAAGGCGGAAGGTGCCAGGGACAAAGGAGTCTGGTCCCAGGAGACTGAGGTTTAGTCTTGCAACTTGGTCTTGGGACCTCTTCAGGTCAGAGCTCCTAGCCCACCCCACCCCGCTTCTTTCCCTTCTCTCCTCAGTGTCTGTCCAGTTAGGGACATAAATGCTTCTTTTGGGCGTAACTGTTTGAAAGCCAGACCAGCACTCTTCCCTTCCCCTTTCTGTTCCCAGGGGACAGTGCCATCCAAGTGTGCTCAGGTGATGGGGAGTCAGTGGGCCCCTTCTGATGGACTTGGCTGGGGCTCTCCCTCAGGCCTCTCTGTACACTTCCTTTGCCTCAGCAAGTGTCCCCACCTGTGTCTGGCCAAAGTGTTCCTTGGACTCGTGCATAGAACTGCCTCCCTTCCCCAGGTGTGAAGATGTGTCTCCTTTTGGGTTCCCTGGGCCTAGTGCACAGTAGGCCCTCAGGAGTTACCTCGTCTCTGCTTAGACATGGTACCGTGCTTTTCCCTAACCTGATCTGGTGGTCTTTGTATGCTGTCCCCATAGCTGGGTCATTTTTCACAGATAGTGCCCAGTGTGGCTAAGTGGAAGGAGGGAGAAAAGGGACAGATGAGCCTCTCTCCTTCAGGAAGCTGCCATTCTACAAAGTGGCCCTCCAGGACAGACTGAGATTGGGTTAGTCTGGATTAAACCTGGGTCTTTGTGCATACTAGGCAAGCAGTCTACCACTGAGCTCCAACTGCAGCCCTCTGCTTTCATTACTAACAGAGTTTAATGTGTATATGCCTGTTTAAGTGTATGCCACATGTGTGTGCCCAGCTGGTGTGCTAGGCAATTGTAAGATTTGTGCTGAGACCTGAACTCAGGTCCTCTGGAAGAGCAGCAAGTGTTCTTAACCACTGCTGAGCCATCTCTCTAGCCACCTTTATTTTGAGGCAGAACCCCACATATTTCCCCAGGCTGGCCTTGAACTCACTGTGTAGTCCAGGCACTGGCTGTGAACTTACCATCCTACTTCCTCAGCCTCCTGAGTAGCTGGGGTTCTAGGCCTGTACCCATCAGACCTAGCTTGGTCACTAATCTCTGGAATCACATCAACAGATAAGACTAGTTATGGCTGGCCATACTGAAAGTTCTAGAAAAGCCTAACATAAGGATGCAGGCCCTGGAAGACCATGTCAGCAGCTAGATGCTAGAGAGAGAGAGAGCCCAGCCAGAGTTGTCCAGGCGGCCGCCCTGAACAAGCAGGCAGTCACCTATCCACAGTTCTTGAGGCTGTCCCAGAGAACCTAGAAGGAATAGCCAGCACCTGATGCCAAACATAGCCATAAAGACCTGCCATCTTGCCCTCTCTAAAGACCCAAGGTTCAAGCAACAGACAGCTGCAGCATTTCTCCCCTGGCCTCTTTCCAGATTCGTGCTGGCTGTGGTCAAAGCCTAGAGCAGGGTCAGGTCACAGGTGGCCTCCCAAATGGTGATGATAAAACACAACTTAAATCTTGCCTTTCGATGATGGCTTCTCCCTTGGCTCTCACCCAGTGTCCTCCCTATGGTGGCACAGCTGCCTGCTCCCACCTCCTGAATAACTAGCCAGCAGGCACTTGAACCACCGTCCAGCAGCCATGCTGTTCTGAGGCTCTGGGGCCCTCACTGGCACACAGGGCACCACTTCCAGCCAGCTAGAGGGTTCCCCCACGCCATGCCTCAGTACAACTCCTGCAGCTCCCTGCACCTCTGTGATGAGCTAGACTCCTGGGGCCTGGGGCTGAGGCTCAGAGAGGAACTAGCCAATGCTTCCCTTGGCCTGGCCGGGTCTGGAAAGATTTGTGATGCCCTGGAGCAGGAGTGGTGGTGGAATTGAGCCGCTGTGACAGCTGAAACCAATCATCATCTTTATTGGCAGTTTTCACGGGTCTGTTCCGAGCTCCCCCCTCCCATCCTTTCCCCATGTCAGGCAACTCTGATTAAAAGTAATGGATGGCTCCAGCCCACTCCCAGGCGTCCTGATGGGAAGAGATGTGGGCCTGGCTTCTTGTGGGTCCCAGCAGAACAACCTCTCCCAGGAACCACGAGGTGTACCAGTGTCCTGTGGAAGACAATACGGGTTCCCCAGCTTCAGCCTGAGGAAGAGCCCTGATCATCTAAGACAGGACATGCCAGACACTTCTGTCCCCACCACTCACAGAGAAGTGTCACATGCCCTGTGCACTTGTCCCAGACTGCAGGGAGTAGTCAGACCTGTTCTAAATAGAGACAACAGGGCTCTATAAATTCAAAATGGAGACCAAGACTTGGGGTCTCTGTGCGTGCTGAGTACTGGCAATCCTGGATGATGTCAGTAGAAGATATGAGAAGCTAGAGAGACCTAGAAATGCCCTCTTCATTGCAGGAATCCTTGTCCGTCAGTCATGCTGTAGTACATGAGCCTCAGGTTCTAGAAGCGAGGCTGGTGAGCCAGCCCACAGGTGGAGGGTTTGAGAGGAGGCCTTCTAAGAGACTGCCAGGTACAGACAGCTGTCTCTACAGAGCCCGACTGCCTCAGACACATAAGGTCACAGATGCTCTTCTGCAGCAAATTTCCTAACCCCCAAGCCCAGAAGAGTGGAGACATGTGCCATTTGCTGCCAGCCTTAGGAACAGCAACTCAGGGCTCCTGTCTCCAGCTTTGCTCTCCTGTGTCCTTTCTTCCCTGGAGTGACCCCCTCACCATGTCCCACCTGCTGCAGACCCTGGTCACCCAGCCCTACACACAACTGCCAGCACCCCTGCCCTCTTACCCACATGTAGCAGGGGACTTGTGCCTACGAGATGCCTCCTCCTCTCAGCCCCTCAGCACCCCATGTCCCACACCCAGCCTCGCTGGACAGAACCTTTGAACCGAGGAAGAGAGAAGAAATACGTGCTGGCCAGGTCTGCCTCTGACAGGAAGCTGACGGAGCCCCTGAGGGAGTCCTTGAAGGGGACGCTAGTAGCTCCTCATCAGGATCTGTCACCCAAGCATTTCCTGTCTCTGGATCACACCCAGGCCCTGCTTCTGGAAAGGGGGGGAGAAGAGGATGGGGGTACTCTGAGGTTGGGGGTTACAGTTCCTTCCCCAGGGCCTTTGCACAGCCCCGCAGAGCAGAGTCTGAGCAGGCAAGCCAGTTCGTCCTCGCTGACCCCCTCTTTGTCTTGCAGCTTTTGCCATCATGATTGTGCTGGCCCTGGTGCGCATTGGAAACGGGCAAGGAGAGGGGCACCCATCCCTAGCCAACTTCTCCGGGGTCCAGAACTTGTTGGGGGTATGTGTCTACTCTTTCATGTGCCAACACTCCCTGCCATCCCTCATCACCCCCATAGCCTCCAAGCGCCTCATCACACGCCTGGTGTTCCTGGACTACACGTTGATCCTGGCCTTCTATGGACTTCTCTCCTTCACGGCCATCTTCTGCTTCCGTGGTGACAGCCTCATGGACATGTACACCCTCAATTTTGCGAGGTGCGACATTGTGGGCCTTGCGGCAGTCCGCTTCTTCCTGGGCCTCTTCCCTGTGTTCACCATCAGCACCAACTTCCCCATCATCGCGGTAACCCTGCGCAACAACTGGAAGACACTCTTTCACCGTGAGGGAGGCACTTACCCCTGGGTGGTAGACCGAGTGGTGTTCCCCACCATCACCCTGGCGCCCCCCATTCTGGTGGCCTTCTGCACCCATGACCTGGAGTTCCTGGTGGGCATTACAGGAGCCTATGCGGGCACTGGCATCCAGTACGTCACCCCTGCCTTCCTGGTGTACCTCTGCCGCAAGGACACCCAGCTGACCTTTGGCTATGGAACTGTCAACAAGCATCGGTCCCCATTCCACCACACCTTCTGGGTGGCCTTTGTGCTGCTTTGGGCTTTCTCCTGCTTCTTCTTTGTCACAGCCAAAATTGTCCTCAATGAGACCCAGCTCTGATAGCAGGCAGTGTCTTGACAACAGGAGGCAGGGACAGCCCAGCTCCAGCCCCGCCGCCTGGAAGCAGGATTTAGCTGCCACCCTGGTCGACATGAGCATGCTAAGCTGAGGCTCTTGGCCCCACCCAGGACTTCACCCTGCAGGACAGCCCTGGGAATGTGGCTGTTACACACATTCTTCCACGCCTGCCCTGGGAGGCTGGCTCCCTCCTCTGTGCGGTGGAGGAGACAGTGCTGGCACTGCTATTTATGCCAGACCCCGTGCCCTGTCCTGCAGCTTCGACCGTCCACTAGCAGCTGCTGCCTCTGCAAAGGCGAATCCCAGGCCCTGGCTCTCCTAACCTGGCCTGCTTGTGATGGGCAGGGTCCACTTTCCTGCCAGCCCTGACAGTTGCTAAGTTCTTCTCCTGTGGGAGGCCTGGCCAGTTCTAGTGACAAGGACAGGATGTGCTAATTGGTACCAGGGTCCCTAGACAAGAGCCGTGTGAGCTTTTGCTGTGGGTCCCAGCTCTGCCAAAGCAGGCAGATGTGGCACCCCTCCACAGGGTTTAAAGCCCTTTGCTTATGTCCCTGAAAGGGATTCTGTTCCCTGGCTTCTCCTTTGGAGCCCAGGCTCCCCATGAAGTGCAGGGTACCACTTGAGAAGCTGCGCTCATCATCCCACCCACACCCATAGTGGCTGCCTGCCCTGGACTGACAGCAGGGAGAGAACAGAGTGGCCCTCTGCAAAAGGTCAGGCTGGTGTGACACAGCCCAGCTTGCTCCCATGCTGCACTGCAACACTAAGGAGGTGGTGCCCTTAGGAGCCTGGTCATGGGCACTCAGTGACCGCACTCCCCAGGTCCCTGGCTACTGTGGAGCTTGGAGGGGTTGCCTACCACCATTCCTGTGGAAGGAAGCCAGGCTCCCAGCTGCCTCCTGTTCAGTCACGCATACACCCACTAGACCTTGGCGTGATGAGTGATTAATGAGCTACATTTTTGATGTGCCTTCTGCTTTGGGATCCAGGGATCCCTCCTGACCCTGACTTGCCCCAACCCTGGGCCTAGTCCCACCTGTCCTAGACAGAACTGCCTCTGGGGTGGAGGGTCTCAGACTCCTGCCCCTCTTTAATTTCAGTGCCTTGCTTCACCCTAGTAAGGGGACCTGCGCCAGCCACTTCTTCCCTTCTACGTCTTGCCATATTTAAAGCTTGAACTTTGCTACATTGTTGAATGTCCTGGGGACTTAGGGGCCTGTGCAGAACCTGCGAAGAATCTGGGACCCACTGGCAGCACCTGCTACCTCTGGCCCCTGCATCCCTGCCTCTAAGAATGTCTAGGTCATTATGGGCCTGTCTACAGCTCTCTCGCCACTGTCAAACATCTGTAGCTCTTAAGCATCATCATTGCCCAGCCACACGAAAACCAGACATCCCTACACTGGTCTGCCAATGCAGCATCTTCCCAGGAGACCCTGCCCCAGGGTGGGCCAAGTGAGGAAAGCAATACAGAAGCAGGTTCAGGAATAAGGAAGAGCTGCCCATCCCCCGCCCCACCCCCCTGCTCAGGCTATTTGCTGAGAACTCAATTAAAACATCTGTACTTACCCTTCTCCCTCTTGCTTAAGGACAAAGCAAATTAAATCATCTTACTGCAACACACACCTCACCCCACCCCCAGGCTCCAAACCAAATTTTGGTGGAAAATTTATTAGCATCATAAAGCCCAGGTTGATTTATGTGGCAATCTGGAGCCTCAGGAAGCAGCAGAGAGCCTGCTGCATTCCCCTCCACCCCCAAGTTAAGTTAGGGAAGCCCCAGCCTAGGAGGGAGGTGAGACCCAGTGACCACCACTGATGCCAAGCTGAAGCCCTCCCCACTGCCACTGTCTGGTTTCTTTGTTCTCTGATCTCCACCTATTGTCTGACCTGCTAGAAGTCACATGAGGTCACCTTCCTCATCACACCAGGCTTCTGTCACTGGTGGGCCCTGAGAATTGGGCACAAAGAGGAGAAAATTCAAAGGGCTTAGCGTTAGTGGGTGTGGCTGTCATTTGTTTCCCCCACAGGCATCAAGCACATTAAAAGTCTTTATATCACCAGGGTAAGGTGATAGGCTTGGTCCTGGTATCTGTTTGCAAAGAGGCCCCGAGGTTCATGGCTGGGAGGGCAGCAGACGAACCCACCCAGCCTGGCCCAGGATCTGAGTCTCTTTGGAGGAGGTCTTCTGAAACTCAGTGGTTGTCACTGCCATCCATCCGCATTGCTCTGGACCAGTCCCAAGGGCAGGCCAGGTCAAGGTGAGAGTAAGCCTTCTCCACAGAGCACCAGGCCCAGCTGAGCGTTGGAGCACAGCTCCAAGAGCTCTGGCTGTGCCTCACCTGAGACTGGTAGATGGGGCAGATGGCAAGCTGCGAGGCACTGTGGAGTGGTAGAAAATGTCGGTGGGCACCAGGCCAGGCCCAAGGCCACACAGCTGCCCTCACCACATGGGGCCAAGAGCAGCCTCAGCAACAGGCAGTGCCTGCCTCATGGGGCTCTTGCTGAAGTACCTCGTAGTTCCAGAGGCAGAGGAAGGCTGACATCTGCCTAAGGGGTTAAGTACCAAGCTGACTGTTGCCAGGGGCTGCTGGGAAGCTGGTTCTTAACAGCCAGGCAGAGGCAAGCCCTGTCGGCCTTCTTAGGGGCCGCATGCCCTGCACAGTGCTGGATACATTGTGAGGACCAAACTGCCATACCCCGTGGCCTCAGGGCAGCAAGCATCTGTAACCATCCCTCTTCTGGGGGACCCCCCCCCCCCAGATCATAGGTCATGGAAACTAAAGGACTGAGCTCATCCCGGCACCAAAGTCCTTAATAAAGCTGCTATATTACCCATGGTTGTCTCTTGTCATTTGCCAGCTGTGGCTTTAGGGGTAACCTGGGACTGACAGGACCCAGTTGAGGCTCCCAGGTACTGTTTAGCTTCATCACCTCCTAATGAAGTGTTAATCCCGTGGCTGCTGACTGCTGCACTCCAGAAAAGGGATACCAACCTGGAGTCATCCAAATCTAGGAGGCTTTGGGGAAGAGGGTTGACTGTAGATCCCTAGTCTTCTAGGAAACTTGAGGACTGCCCTCCCCTTGCAAAGAGCAAGGTAAGTAAAGCTGGAGGGTTATGGCTAGAGATGCTGTGTCACCCCAACCCCCTTTGTGAGCACTGACTCCCTGGAAAATGCTGATGTGAATATGAGCTTTTGACTAAAGACAGGAGGGAGGAAAGCAGCTAGGACAGCCACGGGAGGGAACTGGGTCAGACTGTAAGCATGTCCCACTGTGAGACAAGTGACAGGGCCTTGCTCTTCCCATGTTGCGTCAAAAGAAAAAAAACAGCATTGGGGGTGGGGTTTGTTAGGGCCTGTTAGATGCTCTTCTTTCTGTGACCTCACATTTCTCTCCCCGCCCCCCATCCCCAGTCAGACTTTCTATCTCCTCTTAGAGGTACGAGGGAGCCAAGGCACTTCCACCATGACCAGGAAGCTAAGATATCTGTTCTTGGGCCTCTTGCCCCTTCATACATTCCTAGAAAAGAACCAGGCTGCTGGCACCTGAGCCAGGGAGCCAACAGCAGGCTCAGTTCCACGTCTGAGTCTTAATCATCTTTCCAGTTCTTGGTTATTAATGATCCCGGGCAGCAAGCGGAGCAGCCTGGGCCTCCCACTGCCTCCCAGCTTCACCTGCTGCAGTCTCCTCCTACAGCTGCACACAGACCCTGGCTCAGGAGGGTGGGAAGGCCAGGACTCAGGTGCAGAAGCTGGTGGCTGTCCATTAACCCTGTCACTGCTGTGTCTGGGTCTAACGCCAGGCTCCCTTCCAGAGAGATCACTGTCGTCAGTACCCACCTAGACTCTGGATCTCGACCTGTTGCTGTTGCCTGGTTCCATCTTGTGAACAGCCATAAGGCAGCAAGTGAACATGACCATGAGAGATGGGGCCACCCATTCTTAGGATGACCAGGCTCTGGCCATAAATGGAAACGTATCTGACCTTGCCATTTTCCCTAAAACAAAACTAGAAGGGCTCAGTTCCCATGGCTCCTGCCCAAGCTTATGCTGAAGAGTCAGCATAAGCAACTATAGCACAGGACACTGAGTTGGCTCTAGGGCTCACTGTATCCATCACTCTCCTACCACCAACAGCAACAGCTTCACCTCCCTCTCTGTCACATGACATATCTGCCAGCTTCCACTTCATCCAACCTGTAAGAGGACAGCAGGACCCCAGCTTTATAGCCTTAGCAGTTCATGAAAGAGTGACTGGATACATTATGCTTACCCTGTTTGGAATGGTGGCCAGTACTTGCTCGCTTCAGAGTCATGGTTGGAGAACAGATGTAATTGCCGATGGGAAATTTGGAAAGACTGCAAACGCCATCTTTACAGAGGTCCCCAGAGCCAGTGTTACGTGACAGTAAAATGTAGTCAGCTGAGAACCTGAGGAGCTGGACGGATGGGCAGATCATCCCAGAAGTTTTGGCACAGTGAGGCTGAGCCATCCCTACCCAGGACATCACCTGTGCCCAGCTTGCAGAGACCATGGACCAGTGCCCCAGAGCAGACTCCCCAAACAGACCTTCTGCCGCCTTTACCACTGTGACACTGTCAGGCTCCCAGTGGCATCTCCCAGCCTGTCCAGACAACCACTGTCACCAGCAGCAGCCTCCCTTTTCAAGAAGACTTGAGTGGTGAACTCAATTCATCACTCCCAGAGCCCTTGTACTGAGCACATTTGCCACAGAATACCTGGAAACTAGCCCTGAATACCAAATGGCTTCTACAGCCCAGAGCCCTTTGCCAGCCTCACCTACTCTCACCTTCTTCTTGGACAGCCTTGGACCTTCTCAGACAGAGCTGTCCACATGCCCTACCCCAGAATACACCCCAGACTGTCCTGCACATCCTCCAGGATGCAGAATGAGGAGCCAGGACCAAGTGGGCTGTAAAACGTTGCTTTAATGTCCCAGTGCTCCAATGAAAAGAGATTCCAACCTATTGGAGCAAGAAGTGGGATGGCCCCATCTCAGCCCCATTTCCAATTTCCGTGTCCCCAAGGCACAGCAACCACAACTAGGAACTGGCTCACCCGTTTTTACTCCCTGTGACTGCAAGACTTCTTATGATGAGCAAGATCCCGGTGTCCACACCAGGCCCTAAGCCTGCTAAGCTAGCCACGGAAGACGTCGTCTTCACGGGGGTCCCATGGCCAGGATTTCAAAGCAGAAGTCAGAGGAGCCCAAGCTTGCCTGCCTCCTAAACCTGGCCAAGGCCAGCCACAGAATCCAGTCCAGCAGGAGCCAGAGCAGCCAGGACCTCACACTTCTGACTCCAGGCTGGAGATCCGCCTCCAGGTGCAGGATCTTGAAAACCCTTGTGTCCCACAGGCTTCCCTGCTGACCTCTCCCGGCACCCCACTGTCCCTGTAGCCCGTTCCTAGCCCCAGGGTCCTGCCTCTGTGTGATGGAGGATCCCAGGCTCCAACGAGCCAGGGGCTGTGGCTGGCACAGGGTAGAGGGTGACGGCAGACAGTCCCCCAACAGAATGGCAGGTGGCTATGGGCGTGCAGACAGACGTGCTGTCTGGGCTGCCAGGTGGCCACCCCTGCTGGTACTTGCCCCACACAAGCCTCCCGGTAGGATGGCAGCCGCATTGACTGTGACTGAACCAAGTGCCTGCAGGATGGCCGGCTTTGGGGGCATGGGCAGGCGCAGGCGTGACCGTTGCACCTGGCAGGCAGCAGACTGGATCGAGTGAAGGCTTCTGCCACCGAGCTGGGCAGGGAAGCATGGCGAGGACGTGGGACCCGCGCCCAGGCCTCGCGCAGCAGAGCCTCCCGCTGAGCCAGCTGTTCTGGCCCGAGCAGTGGCAGGTCGTCAGGCTCCGGGGGCTCCGGGAAGAGCGGGAGGAAGGGGCGCCCGGACCTCTCCGCGCGAGGGAAGGAGCTGTAGTGGCAGTGTGCGGACAACAGGGGGCGCTCCGGGAGCGCGCGCCGCTCTGAGGCTGAGAGGTGCCGCCCCGGGTGCCCGACTCTCACCGGCCACCGCGCATCCCAAGTGTGCCTGCAGGATGCTCGAGAGACGTCGGGCAGAGGCGCCCCGCACATCGCGGGGCGACCCGGGGGCTGCGGGACCCTGCGCACTAGCGGGGTGCGGCCCCCACCGGAAGGCCCCCAGCAGCTGGGATTCGGTTGTCCCGGAGGACCCGGGGTGGACGACCGCGGGCCTGCGCTGGTGGGAGCGGGTGCGCGGCGGTTGCTGCCCCAGTTCTCGATGGTGCGAGTGGCGCGGTCCAAGGAGCTGCTCACATCTGCCGTGCTCACCATGTCTCGAGCTGCCTGCAGCATCTTCAGCACATTGGCCTGGGCTGAGCCTGCTGTCAGGTCCGGGCTGGGCGGCCGCGCGGGGCTGGGGAGGCTCTGCACCCCGTTGAAGCAGCTGTAGATGCCCTAGTCAGACACAAAGGGGAGACAGGCTGTGAGCTGAGGCGCCTTCGCAGGGACCAGCCATCGCTGTCCCAGGCCTTGTTCCAAGCAACAGCTTCTTAAAGCCCCAACTGTGCGCTCCTCGTGTGTCAGGCAACTCGTGCCGCTCTGCACAGGGATCTGGTATCTTTCTAACGACGCGTTCTAGCAAACGGCAGGGAGGACTCAAAGCACACTCCTTCCCAATGTCTCAGTTCTACATCAGGAAACGGGTCCACAGGCAGCCGCGTGGCGGTGCCCGACACTGAGGCGTGTGCGGGAGGAGGCAGGCACCTACCCTGCTGAAAGCCAGCAGGAAGTCTAGCTGGGATGAGCTGGGCACCGAGTGGCGAAGTTTCCAGTAGACCAGGTGCTCCCAGGCAAAGACCAGCAGGGCCAGCCCCATGGCCACCAGCAGCATGTAGAAGACCCCAGCCATGTTGTCGATGTCCAGCTTGCTGCTCATCACCTCATTTTTCTCATTCTGGCAGATCCCCGAGAGCCACACAGTCTCCAGCTTCTGCGTCTCCCCTGACAGAGAGTACATACAAGACTCAAGTGGTTGACAAACCCTACCCACACTCCCCCTAAGCCTGGCTAGAGGATGGTTCCACATCCTTGTTTCCTAGCGGGGAGCAGAGGCAGGACAGGGCAGCCAGTAAGCGAGGAGAAAAGGCAGAGCGAAGCGAGCTGCAGAATTTGTGTCAGCCTTAATGCCCTTTACCTGCCCACTCCCATATGCTCAGTAAAGTCTTGTTTTCATAGTTATTTGAGGTAGGGTTGGCCTTGAACCTGACAGTAGGCAAGAATGAACTTCCTGCCTCCACCTCCCAAGTGCTGGGATTACAGGCTGGCACCACCACACCTGGCAGTAAAGGCTTGTCAGTTGGTTAAATTTTAGCATGCACTCGCTCATTCATGCATCCTCCCCCTCTACTCTTTACGGCTGACATGCCAAGCCCGAGCTGGGCCCCTGGGAGAGTGCAAGCACTCTTCTGTGCTCTCATTCTTCTGGGCAATTTATGGTGTGAACAGTGTTTTGGGTTTAAGGTACAGATGCTCATGAAGGCCAGAGGTGTCCAGTCCCCCTGGAGCTGGAGTTACAGTCAGTTGTGAGTTACCTAATGTGGGTGTAAGGAACCAAACTCGGGCTCTCTGCAAGAGCAGAGTGTGCTCTTAGCCACCGAGCCACCCCTGCCGCCCCAAGGCATGGGAGTGTTATGTTTTATTTTGAGACAAACTCTTGATTTGTAGCACAGGCCTCCAACTCATGAACTCTGTCTTGGTCCCCGGAGTGCTAGAGTTAAGGTGCTCACGCAGCTCAGACAACTTGTGGCTAAGGATGGAAATCCTGCAGACTGAGAGCTTTCTCTGAGTTTAGT